AAGGCGGCCCAGCTTCCCAAACCCACACACGCTGCAAAGATTGGACCCTCATAATCCGAGAGTAAGTCGTGTGTAAATCCAGAAGCTGTGATTGGATCCTCACTTCAATTGTATGCAAATAGATACCACGAGTCAGATCCCTTCAGACTATTCATAGTTCGATTTCGTTCTGAAAGCTCATCTAAAACAGATCTGAACTGGCGTTTGCGTAAGAAATACAGATCCAACCTTGTTTCTGATACATTCGACGGTTTGGAAGGCCTGAATTCAGAAGATGGAGACGAAGTGAACTCAGGACCGGCGCTTGATGGTGGGGAAGAGAGCGATGGCGGCGGCGGGGAAGATGACAACGGCGGTGGGGAAGACGACGACAGCCAACACACTCCTTAAGGACAGTAATATCTGAACCCTTGCTCTTTTTGTCTTTGATGATTGAGGGGTGTTGTGTTGGGCCATTGCATGATGATTGAACGGTTTGGCTTTTTATGTAACTAATGATGATTTAAGGGTTGTGATTGAACTGTGATGGGTGTTTGTGTGTCTGGGAATGCTATTAAGCTGGTGGTCAGTTCTGCTTACCTGGGATATGTAACTTATGTTCATGCTTATGTGTGCTTGCCTATGCTAAAATACCCATGATGAAAATGTGATCACTCTATATTGATTCTGAGGTGTGTTAGCTTAGGATGTGTAACCTCCGAGCATGATTATCTGTGTTTGCCTATTGTAAGTGACCTGTAATGAATCTGGGATGATTCTGAGGTGTGTTTGGTATGCTAAAAGACCTGTGATGTAAATTGTGATTACTCTGTATCCATTTTGAGGTGTGGTTGCTTAGGATCTGTAACCAGTGATCATGATTATATGTGTTTGTCTATAATAACTCACATGTGATGCAAATGTGATTAATATGTGATTATTCTGAGGTGTGTTAGCATAGGAAATGTAACATGTTATCATTAATATATGTGTTTGCCTATGATACAATACCTGTGATATTCTGTTATGATAATCTGTGATAACCTGTGATATGGATGTAAAAATTGTTAGCATGATTATCTGTGTTTGCCTATAAAAACACACAAGTGATGAATCTTTGATGAATGTGTGGTATGTTTGTACAAAAATGTACATTAAAATATGCTTCCATTGCTTCTTTTTAGACAAAAATGTACACTAGCAGTGGGGGTACATTAAAAAATTGTATGTCATGCCTTTCATTGTACATACAAAAACAGTACACCCCCATTACTTATAAGCTTGGTGTACTTACCCAAAAAGGTTCAAAAACTATACCAAATAGGGTGTTTACTTTATACTTGAAGCTGTTGTTCATCTTCATGTATGAACTGAGACCCTTGATTTCTATGTGTGGATTTTGTTGCCATATATGTCCATCCATGAATGCTTTAGCTGTTTGATACAAGTCAGGGGAGATGTGGACATTTTTTGGTAACAACCCTTATCTTTGTAACTTGTCCATCCATGAAGCTTTCACTTGTTGCCTCCTCTGTGCTTTAAGATTTCCTCCATTACATATTGATAGCTCAAAAACACTTTGTTTAGTGTTTGAGGTGTCAGCTCCTCATACGAGACTTGCACTGCTTGTATTACATCCACGATATTTTTGGGGCCTTTTGATCCTTTATGGAATCAATAGCTCTAAAGAAACCTAGGACTAAATCATTTAAATCATAACTATTAAGGACTTGACATTGTAGTTGGATATTCCAGCCATTCTCTATCCTTGATTTAACAAAGCCTGCATCATTTATTTGAATATAAGGCTTGACATTATCTTTTTGTATTATCACTTCCTTGTTTGTTGTGTTTGGCCACTTAGATTTGATTGCCGATAGTAGGGTGTTCATTATCATTTCTTTCATTACTTCCCTAGTCACACTTAATATTTGTTTGGTTTTTAAAGTCCCAGCAGCCCTATTCTTGCTTGATCTCTTGGTTGTATCTTGAAATGTGAATGGAAATATCTCTATCTTTCCATCCCACTCCACCTCCCCACTGTCAGCAATCCTAGGTCTGTCAACTGCAGCCAGGAACATGATTTTGGGTATAAATTTCTTTGATTGAGCTGTTCTATATGGATCTTCTTCTGTGAGAAGGGTGTAAAAACTAGTAGTTTCCTTAGATAAGTAAAACCACTTTTCATCTATGTGAACACAATCATGAAAATCATGAAATGTTGGTGTTGTGTCCACTGATTGAGGAATTATTTGACTTAAGCAAAAAGTTAACCTTTTCAGTTTCCCTGCATCTGTTAGCAGTGGTTTGATTGCACTTGAATGTCTAAATATTTGCTTCCTCTTGTACCACATTTGCACAATTGTTTTATATACTTCCATTGCATATGCAAGTGCTCTCTGATTTTTTCTCTTATGTAAGGGAATCTGGGAAAGCTTTTATATGTCAAAATTGACTCTTTTTCTGCCAACATTCCCCTTCATCCTGCTTTCCACTTGTACAACATTTCCCATATGCATGTCTTCCTTTGCTTTAGCCCATATGCTATGAATGGTTCTGGTGGAAACATTAAGCTTGGTGGCCAATTTTGTTATTACACCCCTCTGAAGTTTACCTTCAACAGCCTCACCCAATAACTTGTCAATTATCTTGCTGCGAGTTTCACAGGTCAACTTAGGCCATTTTTTGTGGCCTGGTTGAGTGGATGGACCCCCCCTTCTGTTTCATCAGTTAAGTCAATAACACAAGTGAGTAATAGTGTGTTTTGTCCTGCAGGTTCACCTTCAGATTCTTCTTCAGAATGTGGGTCCGCACTTGGTTGGGCAGAAAGTATAATGGCAGAAGACTCCATTAAAGAAGGAAAAAAGTAGACGAAGATTTCTATTTTTAGAAGCAGTTGAAACTCTTTAATTAGTGTAATGAATGTGTTGTATTTATAGGTAGAAGTAGTAGCGTACTTGTAAAAGTTGAATTTTGGAGGGAAGCCAAATATTCCCTCCTTTTTTGTTGAATGAAAACCCCTCTCTCCTTTGGAGAGAAGTTAGAACTGTACTATTGTAGTTGTACATGATGGCAGCAGTTTGTCCGCATCATTCCATGGAAAGGTCTTCATTTTTTTTTACTATGAATAGTAGGGGGTAATTTTCTTTTGGGGGTATAAATGGAAAGTCAAAACAAAAAATTCCACTTTCTTAAAACCCGTAAAGTCAAACACTGAATATTTTTTTAGGTCCGGAGGGATTATTTCATTGAATTATCTAATCTATTTGTATTTCATTGTTCATCATCATCATTACCTTCGGTGCGGTAAGGCGGGGTCGGTCGGTCGGATGTATGCATTCTTACCCTTCTAATAAAACACAAAGAGTCTGTTTCTGGATGATCCATACTGAAAATCGCGTTGAAAATTGCATGAACTGACTACTATTTCATAACAAAGACGCACATACGGTTTAGTCAGTCATTTTGTTTTATTCCATCATATTCCCAAGCCAAAAAAATAGTGAGTCTTTGGCTCCATTGTAAATGATGGAACTTGCGTTTCACTGTTAAAATTTGTATTATTTTCTTGTTTTAGGTGGGCTCAATTTATCATTTGGAACCAAGACCTCCAAATTCATTAGATGACCCTGAATCAACCCCTCTAATTTCCACCCCAAGGGTGTCCAAACCCGCTTTGGCACCCTTGAATACATTTTACCTTGGATTGGAGAACATTTGGGATGAATACCTCACATTTGGAGTTTTCACCTCTTGAGTTGTGGGCAACCTTAGAAAGACCGACATGTGAGTGACTTGGACAAACATTTTTACGATTTAAAATAAAAGTTTGAGTAAAATGCCAACTTGATACTTGAATTTGTGTCATGTGGAATAAAGAGTATCAAAGTGAAATTATGGTACATCAAATATAAATGGACAACTAAGGAAAAATGATTTAATGATTTGTTAATTTTTGGTTTAAACTTTTTCCAATTGTCACTTGACAAAGAAACTTTGCGTATTTCTTTTTTATGGTTCGACGAATGATCTGGCTTTTGGTTTCTAATCTGATTTTATTAGTAGCCATGATTGAGGTAGAAACTAGTTCAATTTTTTTTTTAGAAAAAAAAGAGATAAAAATATGAGATGATTTATAAAATTAATTGTTAATTTTTAAAACGTGTTAACATTTGTAATATTTGTGTTGAACATATATTAATATATATATATATATATACTATTTGTAATATACATTTGATAAAGTTAATAGTTTTTTTTTTTTGGAAAATGATAAAGTTAATAGTTAGATACGCAAATGTCTTTTAATTGTACATTTTAAAATTAGTGAAACTATTTTCATATAATTTTTTGTTTATTTAAGTAATAAAACACTCCGTATATACTAAATGCAATTTTTCTAAAATTTGGTAAATTCAACCGTTTTAGCTAGAATTTCGTCAATTCCATCATATTCAACCAATTCGGTCCATTTCATGCTCCAAAATGGTGTGTTGTAAAAAACAATGTTGTGATCCAGTTTAGTGCTTTCCGTGACGATAGCGCTTTCGGTTTATACTCATTATGTTCCTTAAAACTTTGTCATTTTTGAGTGTTTTGGTCATCTAAACTTTGAACAATGATATATTTTTATTGAAAATGATTAATAAAATAAAAATTATTTGGAATGTTCTTTATTGAAAATAATTACATGAAAATTATTAAATTTACCATCATTACCTGAAAAGTCAAAGTTTTAGAAAACAATGTTTTCACTTTTCACGGAGGGAGGTAGTACTTCAAAAACCAATGAGCGAGCTTAGCGCTTGAGATAGAAAACTCTAGATTGAACACACTAAGAATAATAGCGTTTAGGTTCAACATTTAAAAGTTAATTATCAATTTTACATGTTGACTAACGCTAAGTTTGAAAACTACTTTATCATCTGCTAGTCAAATCATGATCGAGTGAATTACTATCCACTAAGTCACTAGCTAACCAAGGCGATGATCTGTGAAATGAAAATTTTGAGGATATGGAAGGAATTAGAACGACGATTCTGGAGGACGAAGAATGTAATTAACTTTGGTGATTGACTAAACCAATCAACATTGCCCCTTGGGAGGCGCAGTATGCATGAGTTACAGTCTTACAGATAAGCTAAATAAATGTGGATCATTGTTTTGTTTAGGCGAAGAAGATGAATGAGGATTAAGTGAAGACTAGCTATCAAATCAATTAAATATTCATTCATTCATTCACACAAATTAGATGTTTGTGTTGTTGTATTGATAATCTGGAATAAAGATTAGTCCCGTGAAGATGTTACCGCTGGCTGTTCTATTGGGAAGCTGAAGCAGCGGATGCGAAAAGATCCATCTGTGATTGCATGAAGAACTGCAGTCTCTGCAACTCTATCTCTTTCACTAACTTCATCCTCTCCTTCTCCATCTCCACCATTTGCTCCATTTTCGCCCTCTCCGTCCGCTCGTATGCTTCCCCGAATTTCAGTATCGCCCCGCTCATCTCTCTCACTGATTTCCCCCAATTCCCTCCTGCCTCTTCATCTCTTTCCCTTCCTCCCCCTGACTTCAACTCATTGGTGCTATTATTATTGCTCCTCAGATTCACGGTTTGCATCCGCTCAAACCTCCGCCTCTTTCTGTCGTCAAGCTGCAATGAATCCGACGAGTCCGAATCCACCTGAGACTTTTTCGGAAAAGACCGCAGTCTGTGCTTCTGCTGCACCGGTGGAGACGGTGGCTGGTGTTGCCGGAGATGTGGAGCGGACGACCTCACTAGTGCTCCGTTCACCGACGGCCCAGCTGCGGCGGCGCTGTAGTTGATCCTCGCAGCGGGCCCGATCAACCGGTCCAGTTTCTCGAAGAAAGCCCACCTGCTGGGCCCATGTCCGCCTCCCATCTTCGCCTTCTCCAGCTTATACTTCTTCTTCACCGTGTCGATCCGGTTCTTACACTGCACATCTGACTTTGGGGTTTTCGTGTGCCCTTCCCGCCTGCTCACAATGTCCGCCACGTCTTTCCAGTGCTTCTGCTTCAAATTCCCCCGGCTCAGCTCCAGGTACCGCTCCCCCCAGGCGTCAATCAGCACCGCCGTCGCATCCTCGCTCCAGCAATCTTCTCGGCCGCCACTCGCCGGCTTCCCCTGTTGCTGCACGGGTAAGGCCAGGGCCAGGCATTTGGTGCTTTGTGGAGGGGCAGGGACAGCGACCGTCACCGCTATCCTCCCGTCGGATCTCGGCGGCGCTGGAGATTCCGTCCCTTCTGACGAACCAGACTCCATCTCGTCGTTGTCTTCCATCAACCGAACTCCCAATTCCCGCCGGGGTTGAAAATCGACACCGATCTGAAATTGGGTTCTTGAGAGAGAAAGTAGAGAGGGTAGTTTGTCAAATTGTTTCCTGTAGCCGAGGGTTGACCGGAAGGGAGAGAGATTAGAAATCGATGAATAAAAGATGCCGGAATTAAGGTCAGTTTTGGGGGAGAAGAGAAGAGTTTAGGGAAGCTTGTCATTTCTCAATTTGTTTTGTACGCGTTAGAGTACCTTTAGCTCAAGAATTTAACACTTCGTTCTTTGAGGTTTTAGAATGAAATACAAGTATAAAAACAATTAGAAATACTATCAATCACCTTGTATTAATATTAATGATCTAAGGTCGTTCAAAATGTAAGAGATAACAACACAAACTTTGCAATCTTTCACTCTATTGTTGTCTCAGCAAATGAAAAAACATGATTCTATTGTTAAAAATACTTGCTTCCTTATATGGAAGTACTTTTTTATAAGTGGAAACTAGAGTGAGAGATTCATGAGTTCAATGATTTAACTCTTTACCTTCACTTGGTACAAAAGTATGACATTTTGGGTGTACGTTCCCTAACAAATCCATGTGACGTATGCCCAGTAAAGTGGACTCGATGCCCTACTCGCTCTAGTAACTTATGTCACTTATACCCAAGCCATTAGGGTTGGACTTGTACCATTTGGCCGTTCAGGGGCTTGGCTCAATCAATATAGGAGTTTGTTACTTAATCGAGCTTCTTTTTGTGGTACATCAAACCCGAATGTCGTGTGGATCATTTTTCATCCAAGAGTTACAAAATATGACTATGATTAGACATAATATTACATATGTTATTCACCTAGTGTCACAATTTATGCATAATCCTATTAAGCGCGCTACTTTGCCCCTCATGAAACTTCGGTCATTCTTTCTTATTTTGATATTGGTTGGGCTTGGGCTAGTTGTCAAGAGACCGGTCGCTCTAGTTCCAAGTATGCTATTTTCATAGTTCGAATTTGGTCTTGTGGTTCAAGAAAAAACTAGAGTGTCTAGATCTTTTAAAGAGGCTCAATATCGTGTTATTGCCTTGCATATTCGACCTATTTTGTTCGAGCTTGGGGTTACCATTTTCCTCGGCTAGTATGTGATAATTTCTTTCTTTCTTATCTTTCAACAAATCTTATTCAACATGCTCGTAACAAACACACTAAATATTTGATTATCATTTCCTCGGCTAGAATCTTGACAAATCTTATTCAACATGTTCCTACTTGACTTCAGGTGGCTAACCTCTTCACCAAGAATTTATTGCCACAATAGTTCAGCTTTCTTCGAGACCATTTGCACTAGGGGTGGTTCGGTACGGTATACCGAAGATTTTATCCCATACCTTTACCATACCGTAAACTTTCGGTATGCAAAAATACATACTGTTACCATACCTAAATTTCGGTATACCTTGTTTCGGTATACCAAAATTTCGGTACGGTAAGCTACGGTATTGGTAAATTATCATGATTTAATATCAAATTATTATATATCAATTGAAATATAGAAAATCAGTGTTAATAGTGATATACTAAAATTATTAATGAAATTAATTATAAAATGCCAATGATAACCTATTTGTGTTCTATTCAACTTTGAACAAAAAATATTATAAATATGTACGGATACTTCAACACATGATATATGAAGATAACAACACATTCTGCAAAAATAATAATTTAAACAACATAAATATATTTGAAATAACATCGATCTCCAACAAAAAGTATAAATAATTCAAGAAACATGGATATAAAGTCATTATCCTTGAATTAATGTTGTGTTTCTAGTTATTTTTATAATTTTAAATAAATTATTGGCTTGGAATTACGGTATGACAGTATAACGGTATACCGTTTATTTCCAAAATATATACCGATACCATACCAAAGTAATTCAGTACGGTATCATACCGTACCAAAAGTGTCTGTATACCAAACACTTCGGTAAATTCGGTATTTTTCGATATGGTAAGTGTGGTATACCGAAATTTCAGTATTTTTCCCCACCCCGAATTTGCACATAGTTCTTTGTGCACATATTGATGAGATGTAATAGTATAGTAATATTCTTATATTATTGTATTTCTATATTATGAGAACTTTGTTGTATTTTGAACTCTAGTTATTCATTATTTTATATATGACAATTAATGCTTTTTATACACCAGAAAATATATGACAACTAATGTTATGACATTGACAAGTCTGAGATTATTTTCACGCTCCTGTATTGACTTCTCATGTATGCATCATGGCTCCGAGCTTGAGCTAGTATGCAATGGATATTGTTGAGTCAACTCCCCCAACAAAGCCACTTCTTAAAATAGACCAAAAAAATGAAGTTGGAAAAGTAGTCACCAATATGTTAGGCACTAACATAAATTATTAAATGGCCAAATGACACACTAGAGTGAAACGTTTTTATGTTGTAGGTTCGAATCAGCCCAAGACATGTATATGCCATTTTACCAAAGAATTTTGTGACCTATTCGCCTCATATCCCTCAAAGGATCAAACCTAGACATTACCTTCTACCTTATCATTTCCACATATTTGTCTTTAGGTGATAATATATGGTCGAAGAAATGTCGGTGAAGTACGATACTATATTGACTAAAATAAAGAAGCAAAGAGAAGTAGGATGAGATATTTACCCCACGTATGATTAAAACCGTTTATGTTTCTTAATCTATAACTACTATCTTTTTTTTCCTTAAATGATGGCACATGCCATGTATGTACATGATCGTGCCTTTTAATGTTTAGGTTTCCTTCCAGCTTTGCCCTCTTTTCTAAGGATGACCGAAACATGCGTGTTCCATGTTTGCCCTCTTCCCTAGTCATACGTTGGTCAATAAACTTACCCACTCATATTCTGGGAATTCTCATCACTTGTGCTCATAGATACGTATTTTTCCCAAGTAGGATCATTTAAATCAAGTATCACAGGAAGATGTAAATGCATGTCAAAGGCCAAAAGATGAACAAGACGCCATAATAGCAACTTCATCCAACAAGCGAAATCCTTCGCAAGACTTTAAGTTATGGTTTTTATTGAAGTTTGTACAACATATCTATACCTTGTAATTATTTGAGTGCATATATGCTAAGCTTGATATATCAGTCTAGAGTTGTCGTGGTGACGAGTTATGCAACCGAGATAGTGAGATTCTAGAGATGAGTTAGACAGAAAATTAGAGTGAGAAAGTGTGTAATAAATTAAGCAAAATAACACTGCAAGCAACGTTTGGGGATCACTTGCACAAGTTGTAAGTTCCTATTTATAGAAAATACAAGACTTCGGAAACAAGCCAATATATCTAAGCTAATAAGAAAATGATAAGTGTGCTTTGATTATCTTGGTGCACATGTCTATGACAGCAGCATTGCGTCAGTCCGGTAGACTTGTCTCAGTCTGAACTCGAACAGGAATTGAACCGGGACTTTGAATTTCTGAAAACTAGGAAATCGTAATTGTAACCTTAATTATAGTAACGGTTCTAGGCGACTCAGAATCGGCAGTTCAGTTTCTGGTTCAATAGTTTTCATTTTATGATCTATATTATTATTATTTTTGCTCACTGATGGTCTATTGGACCGTTTTCTTTGGGCTTAAGATGTGTCGCAATACACTCTATCACGTAGATTTTGATGACTTTCTGAGTCTAAATCAAAGTAACTGATACATCTAAAATATTTGGTCTTGGTAGGGGTGGGCAAAAATCCCGGTCCCGGTGTCCCAAACCGAAAAATCACGATACCGTTCCGAAACTATCCCGATCCATTTAGGACGCAATTTTTTCATCCCGAACCGGTCCCGCACCGATATTAAATGGGACGGGACCGGGATAACTATAAAATATCATGTCCCGTCCCGGTGTCCCGTTTGAAATTAATATGTTATTTTAAATTTCTAATGTTGTGTAATAGTCAAATCCAAGTAAAATTTTCTAGTTCTTCGTCTCTCTAGTGTAATTTTATCTTATTTCATGTCTCTCTTAGTCTCATTTCTTTTGTTTCTTTTGATTAAAATTTGTTTACTTCTCATTCCAATACTAATCCAGGCCATAATATATTATTACGTGCGGAATACTATTTATGATGGAATAACTACTACTCCAAATTATAGTGTAGTTATAGATTTAATATTTTTCAAAATAACTACTAGAATATATATATATATATATATATATATATATATATATATATATATATATACACATATGGTGTCTTTATAGATATGATATTTAATTTAATGCGGTATTGAAAAATTACAAATGTACTACAGAGTATAAAAATATTTTGCGCTACTATTCTACTAGAGGAAACACAAGATTAGGGGGACCAAAAAAATTTACAAGACAAAATTAAAAATAGTAAATTAAAGGTTTTACTTAACTTTTTGGGAAGCTAAATTGAAAAAAAAGTTACATCTTTATATTGATGTTATGCTTATTTTTATATCACATTTCACAAATGCATATTTTATGGGACATGCCGAACCGTCCCGGTTTTTCTCGGGTTGTCCCGGTCCCGTTTTAAATGGGACAACATTGGGATAAAGACTTATCCCGTACCGAACCGGACCGTTGTTATGAAACCGGGACGGGATCGGGATAAGCCAAGTCCTGAACCGTCCCGGACCGTGCCCACCCCTAGGTCTTGGTATGATGGGATACATCTAGTTTGTCTTGATACAGATGTCCTACCCTTATTTTTTGAATGTCAAGAAAGAGAAATTCTATTTACAACAAACAATTTACTAAATACAGCTCATGTAATTTTCTAATTCCTATTATACCCTCTAATCTCTATAGGCATATCCACCGTATGTGTGTTACGTGACTCTCCAACACCAACTCTACAGAAATGAAGAATGGTCATCCCCTCTCGGCTTATACAATCTATAAGAGAGAAAGAGAATGATATTGTTGTCAAAGTCGGGGTCTTTACCGCCGACTCTCCTTAGCTCGGTTCTTGCCATCCTCTGTTTGGAGATTTAAGATCAATAAAGATGACATGTCAAACATTTTATTTGGCATGCATTTACCATAGCAAGATTTTAATCATCACATGGTTGTGTTTGGAACATCTTTGATTTCAATTCAATTTCTACTTTTCTGGATTTGAAAAAGAATATGTGTGTGCAATCTTTCTATGCACCATTCTGGCTAAAGAATCCACTTGTTTCATCACAAAATTTAGGCCCCCCGGTTTCCCTTTCTCAATATCACCATTTATGATCGTGGCATGACTTTCAACATTCTTCTTCTTCTATTGATTTGGCTTCGGTAATTATATTTGACTGAGCATCAATGGTTGCTCAAGCTTTTATCTTCTGGTCTACCTTTGGGCACGAGAGTGTACCAGGGTTCATAGTATCTCTATTATGAAAGATATCATCAATTGGGCCTTGTTGGCTATTGTCTACGCTTGGATCCTCCGTCATTGATGAATAGGTAGTTGTGAATTGCAGAAGATAAAGATGACTAAGATAAATGAACGTTAAAAATGCATTGTTTTGTAGATCTTACGTTTCTGGCCTATTTCAACGACTACAAATGTTGTTGGTACACATATTTTGTGTACATTACCCTAGTTGTTTGTCTAGACATGTAATTCATTCAAAATTAAAGATGTCTTGTAGACACAATTAGGGGTGCACAAAAAGTGTACAAAATATGTGTACACCAAGCATGGTTCTTCAACGACATATGTGTGTGTGGGGCCTATTTTATTGTGAGGTGAGGGATATTTTAGATATTTAATTTATTAAAATTTGCTAATATTTAATATTGTGGTTGTGAATAGTAATTTTGGGGCCTCTAAGCTCATTTTTATCTACAAGTCCAAAACATTCACTAAATAGAACAAGGGTTACATAAGGGTTGGACATTCAAAACTCCATCAATGTATCAGCTTGATAGTTTATGGGGTAGTTAAGGTACCATTTTATATTAATTCTGTGAGTTCATTAGAAAATGTTCTAGTTATAGAGTTAGAGTTATATACAATATTAGTTCTCAGAAATTTGGTTTAATTTTTTGTTAAATCATGAAGAAAAATAAAATATACATAAAAATATATTATGTAACTTAGTTGAAGTATATAAAATATATTGATACAACAACATCCAAGCCTTAGTCCCAAACGATATTGGGGTCGGCTAACATGAACCGATACATGATATTGGTATAAAATTTTAATATTGCAAATCATAGCAAAAAGTATAACCGTTAAAAAAAGATGAAATTTGAGTATTTATTTGATAAAAGATAATGAATATGATATATTGTTTAATTTGATGGTACTTAGGGATATACTAAGCTAAAATATTTTGTTAAACTTTGTACAACATATCTATACTTTGTAATTAGTTGAATGCATATATTCATAGATTGAGATTGCATAATTTATGATTGTAGTAGACTTTGTTGACTTTTCAAGTCTAAAGTAATTGGTGTGTCTAAAATATTTTAAGTCCAACATTTATTTATTTTAATATCATTAAATTTGAAGCTTATTTTTTTCTAGAACAATTGTAATCATGGGATCTTGTTAGGACTTTCAAGCAATGTTCTAAAAAGCTTGAAAAAATGTCGCCTAGGAGAGCCTAGATCTAAGGCGTGAACAAAACACCCTAGCCTGCCAAAAGGAATGAAGGAAGGCTTTTAAATTTTAAAGGTTAAATAGGTAATACTGGTAATCCTATAAGGATTTGCATTACTAAGGCAACATGTTAGTACATGCGGAGTATGACACATCATTAAATAGAATTGTTTAACGGAGGGATCTTCCTAGTTGTCCAGTGTGGGAACCTTGAATTGGGAATCTAATACAAATACATAATATAGGAGCTGAAGAGCACTTTGTCGTAGTGTGCCTCAAATTAAATTCACTACTAAGGGCTAATACCGTAGTATAGCGTAGTAGAGTTCGTATCCATAGGGAAAAGTGATTTTCACGTATGTGTAAGCGTAATAAATTAAATAAAAGTAAACGGAAGGGGGAATTGAATATTTTGATAATTGAGAATGAAAGCAAATAAAATACTTAAATGAGTGAAATAAAATATCAAAGGTAATTAGTCTTGGTTTTGCTAATTTCCACTTAGTAATATGATCGTTGATCATTGTTACTACTTTAATTATTCCTCTTAAATACTTAATTGCAGAGAAATTCTGATTCATCTGGAATAGCTATTAATAACGAGACGCGTTCATTAATAACCATTACTATTAATTAATCAATATAGAACAAGCGCCATATGTTGATCTTAATAGTAGCATTCGGTCAATTTAATGAAATAAATTAAGAACGATAACTTGTAACCCGAGGTGAGTATTCTCGACGGTCACAACGAGAATCTCAGGTCCAATTATTCTATCTAATTTATTCATTTTTCATCTGATGAAATCAACTAATTAAGATTGATAACCTCAACACAAGCGGTTTATTGGTTTAATCAATATAATTAATTCCCCTTAGGTTTATTAACCATGAGATGCATGCATTAGTAACCCAAGTTTACTACCGTGAAACGATCGAACGATTAACAAGCGTATTCGTCGATCGATTCTAGTAATAATTAATATATGAAACAAAACTAGTTAATCCTTTAAGTAATTTTCAAAATATTAATATGAAATATGAATATGAATTAATTAATATTCAAGGAAGAATATTAAAGAAAATAAATTCTACTATAACTAATGTCAAGATGTTAACTAATTGTCATCTTAGCAACACTCCCCAACATTAATATAGAGATAGATTCAATTAATATTCAAGGAAGAAGATTAAAGAAAATAACTCACAACTTATAATTCATTAAGCTTCAAAGTAGCAAAAATAAGCTCAAAAGACTACCTAAATTACAAGAATAAAGTGTATATGAAAGAGGGGATTAATTGATCTCTAAAATAGGAAGGAAAAAAGGTGTTTTTATAGGAGAAGTGAGGTGGTTGGGCCTAAGACGTAATCTGATTTTCACATGTTCACTTGCTTTATTTGATCTCTTATGATCTCCGGGTCAAATCATATCCGATTTTTCACATTTCTTTGTTCTCCGTGAAGCTTCCTCTTGTCTCCAATGTTCCTTCCTTATGCTCCCAAGCTCCTTCCTCTTCTTTAATTTTCATCATGTTTTTGCTTACATGTCAAAATATCTTAATATCTTCTAATTCTACTTTAATTTTAGAAGATAAAGATTACACTGTAATTGTACAAAAGCTAAGTAAACATAATGTAAAACCATTCTAAAATGTGGTGTTTATGCACTACTAAATAGTACACATCAGGAGCCGTGCTTTTAGGGAGATCAAATTTCATGTTTACATAAAAACATGAGGTTGCATGGCCAACTCATACACAATTTGTGTTGCAGTACTTGTAGACTTGAGGAAATATGAAACTATATCCCCCATGAATTAGCTAGACAATTAAGATTTCTTGTAATTATTATTGCTATTATTATTTTAATCAACTTCTTTAATTCATGTTTTTTGTATAGTAAGTAAACCTGCAATCCTATTATTTGTATAAATAAGTGTGAACTTTTGTGTGTGATATTATGTAATATTGCATGTACATATAAAATCGGAAAAATTGCCAAGAATAATCCCACCTTTCACTGATCTTCTCATAATAATCCCACATTTACATAATCCCAGAATAATCCCACCTTTGCACCTCATCTTCTTTCATTGGACCCTGATCAGGTTTTTTACTCTTTCTTTGAAAATCATATAAATAATCTTACCTTTCACTTTTTATTATATCTTTATAAATGTGAGATTATTTATATAGGATTTTCAAATAAAGGTAAAAAACCTGGTCATGGTCCTATGAAAGAAGATGGCCGGGGAGCAAAGGTGGGATTATTTTGAGATTATGTAAAAGTGGGATTATTATTAGAAGACCAGTGAAAGGTGAGATTATTCTTGTCAATTTTTCCTATAAAATAATAGCTGAAAATTTTAAATAATAGTAAAAAATCAAAATACTTTTTCATGCCTAGTTCCTGCCTAGACCCGCCCAGGCTTCAAAGGTTTTGGGCTCATCCGTGCCACCTCGGCATGCCTTATGCCTTTTAGAACATTGCTTTCAAGTAAGAAATGTATAGTGTGTCTCAAATGTTGTGGCTTGTAGATGTCTACAACCTTTTTTATTTGGAGAAATCTGGAGTAGTAAAAAGATGGTGGACTCGCCTCATCTCCCCAAGAGGTTGGATAGAGACTCAAGTAAGTTATACTACGTATATGCTTAAATTTACGTAATGTATACTTTGCGCTTTACTCATTATTCACACTAATTATCTATCATCATACTTAGAGAGTTAGAGGAGTACTTTTATGTGTTCGAGAGACACGATTTTGATATATGTGGTGAAGATTCTCTATGAGCTTATACTCCTTTTACCAGTTTAGTAACATCGACTAAATTTGTATTATTTGTAAATAGAATATTAATGTATAGCAAGAGGGGGGCGTCTCACTGAATTTGAGAAATATGATTATAGGACATTAGGTAGCTAGAAGAGTAGGTTTTGGCCAATTTGGTAGATGGTGCCATTTATAGTTGGTGAGACATACTTTAGTGCATATACAACTAAAATCGCATATATATGAGATCTCGTGCATTGCATAATCCCACAACAAAATGTGATGGAACATGGTAATCCTCATGGCCTTGGGCACAACTTGCGTTCAGATTTTCAAGGGCCGCCGGGGGCGCACCAGGCACCACGCGACGTGCAGTGCTCTTCCCATTGCTGGACCCTACCTCCTGCTGAGCCGTTTCCAAGATGGGCAGCAAACATCAAGTACAACCCAACTTTCGCCAACAGACCACACAGTTCACACAGTTGGAATCGCTCTCGACATGTATGCTCACACTTGAACCCTTCTCAAAAAATCAAGGTCAATTGGTCATCACGCTTGGTTGAAAAGCTAGTGACTCGATGCTACCGTGCGTTAGATTATGATTGAATGCCTCTAAGTTAGAAACCGGGCTAGACCGATGCATTCGAGACATATAGAGCTCGAATGAAAGAAGAAGAAGAAGAAGAAGAAAGAGTCATCTAAAAGACTTGATAATTTAATAATGACAAAACAAGAATTAGGGTATACAATGATTTAAATGCTTACTATTTATAGATCAACCTTATGAAATTCTAGTTGGTGCCTACTGCCGATGTGTTAGGTATTAGTTGTAGCTTTAACCAGATTTTGGAATGAATAATTGCATACTATATGTTATAATTATCGTTTTGTTAATGACTGTTAATGGCGATCGTTCTATTTTGTCTAAGTTGTGTTTTTTGTTTGGGTTGGTATAGTTTTGTTTTTTGATTTATGCATATGGTCTAAGTTGGTCTAACATTGGTGTTAAGACCCGGAGTTCCATCCTAAAAGGTCAACCTGATAGGAGGAGTAGCCCGGATCTTAATATAGTGTTTAATCATTCCAAAGATGTCCGGTGTGGGACATTTAACACCCCTCCTCACGACCAGACACTTCGTCTGGATCGTGTCATCATTCATATTTTTTTTCATTGGTCCGTTTTTTTTCATCCGACCGTAATTGTCATTTTTTTATAATCGTGTCATCACGATTCATAAGGGGCTCCCACACCATGGATCGATTTGGCTCTGATACCATGTTAAGACCCGGAGTTCCATCCTAAAAGGTCAACCTGATAGGAGGAGTAGCCCGGATCTTAATATAGTGTTTAATCATTCCAAAGATGTCCGGTGTGGGACATTTAACAATTGAAGTCAAATGGAGTCCCCTTCCATTAATTTAACAAGTGCAATGTTACCTCCCTGTTTGAGGAAGGTAAGCGTGCAGGTCTTGTGTGGCATGTTAGGAATCATGGTCGATTATGATGCCCCGAACGGTGTGGTGCAGCTTTAACTCCGACAAAGGAACCATAGGGCCTCAAGGAAGGTGCGAGAAGGGTGATGACAATTGATTTGATCAGTCTGAACATATTGCAAGCAATTGGTGTTAGTATTTATGTCTAATTGAGTTGATCAGTCTGGTGAATACAACTCACTAATGAAAACCCGAAAAATCTTGTTGACTTCTCACGACAACTTAACAGTCTGTTTACCGAATGACAAGCAAATAGTTTTGCACATTTTTCTACAAAGACATCTACTCCGTCTTAATTACACTTCTCTCAAGGACTTCAAATATATGTAGTATATGATATTATTAATAAGTGAAAACTGTCAAATAAGCTCTCGTACTATATCATAAAAGTCAATTAGGCTCCCAACTAAAAAACATTCAATTAAATCCATGAACTATAGAAAAAAAAAATCAAATTTGTCCTTCAGCCTTTTAAATCCCGGTTAACCGGTCACCATATTGACTTGGTTGTCCACGTGTCATTTTTTAGACTTTTTCTTTTTTTGTTTTGTTTTTTCTTTTTCTTTTTTTTCCCTCCGGTCCTCCATCTCTTCTTTTTCACTGCATCATTTATGTGCCTCATATGCCTCACGCCACCTTCACCTACATGGTTTCCAGCTCAAAGGACATGACGTTTTCGTTCATTATAAGGGAGCGTCGGAGCACCTTTACACATTCCGGAGCACTCTTTACCCTTCGATGACCTAATTGAGCAGACATGCCGACTTCCACCTCTTTTACATCGCCGGCGATAGCGCCGGAGCAAATAGAGCTCACAACCTTGGCATGTTAGCAGTAAGTGAAGAGTAATCTGGGTTAGGCGTTGAATCCTTTGCTGGTTCGACCATTATTTTAGGGGTAGGACCCTTTCGAGTCGAAAAATGGATTAAAGGATGCCTGGGCAAGAAGGCTAAACTCCATAAGCAGTGGATGTTTGTTTGGCCGTCGAATCCGAGTAATTATGAGTTCATCACAAGTTGGTCACCCCCTGATTAGGGCAGAGCACGAGTCGGGTTCGGGCGGGTCGGGTTCAAAAAAGGTAAACCCGTTCGGGTATCGGATTGATAATTTCAAACCCTACCCGATCAAAAAATTTATCGGGTTTTTCGGTTTGAAGAAGTTTGGGTTTCGGTCGGGTTGATTCGGTTTTCGGGTCCATTCGGATTTTAATTTACTATTATTGAAATTGTGATAAATAAAATGGTAATTGGTAAAAATATCATTCAAAGTTATACTAGTATAACATTCAAAGTAATAGTTGTATAAATACGGTAATCAACATATTTGAACATGTAAAATAATAATATACGGTGATTGACTTATTTGATATTGTGATAAATAAAATGATAATTGGTCAAAATATCATTCAAAATCATAACAATACAACATTCAAAGTTATAGTTTTACAAATACAGCAATTGGATTATTTGAATATTGCATAATATGGTGATTGACATACAATAATTGAGATATTTGAACATGCATAATAATTCAAAGTGGTATATATACTACCCTAGTTCGGGTTTTCACGCGGGTCGGGTAGCATAATTGGTAACCCTACCCGCTACTTGCTTAACTCTCGGGTTGCAAAAATCGGATCGGGTTTGGGTCATTCGGTTCGGGTTATCCGACTCAAAAAATAAAATCGGATATATCTGATCGGGTTAATCGGGTAGGGTCGGGTTTGCTCTCCCCTACCCCTGATGAGAGAAAATGCTCCAATTTTGGAGGTTGCGAAGGAGTAGACGTCGCCGACGATCTGTGTTGAAGATGATGGCCGGCGGCACCAAGGATGTGACAGAGGAAGTTGAAGATTACCACCACCAATCGACCCTCCTCGCCATCGCGCGATTTAATTAAGTTTCCTCTTATTACAGGTGGAAGAAGGATAAATAAAATGTTGAAGAAGAAAGAAACGACGGAGAGAGTTTGTGCGGGTGGGAAGAAGAAAGGGGAAAAAACTAAAGAAAAAGGATGAAGCTTGTATGGAAAGAGAAGAAAGAAGGAAGTGGGACCAAAGAAAGAAGAAAAGGGGTGGTGGGCCGTGGGCGGTAATAAAATAGGGGAAGAGAAGGAAAAATAAAAAAAAAGTGAAGAAAAGCATAAAAAATGACACGTGGCTTGGTACTTCACTATGGTAACCGGGACTCAAAAGGTTAAAGTCCAAATTTGATTTTTTTTTTAATTCGTGGACTTAAAGGGGTGTATTGTATTAGGAATTTGTGGCAAAATCTTAAAAGTCCATGGATTTTAAAAGTTTAGGTGTATTCAATGTGGACTTTTAAAAGTCTACAACAGTCTAGGTGTATTCAATGTAGTATTTTAAAAGTCTATAAAATTCTAGGCGTATTCACAGTTCTATTCATTCTTATTGACTTCTAAAATCATTTATTCTTGTGGACTTTTAACTCATTTTTAGTGCAAAAATTCTCTGCAATTCTCTCTTCTCCTCACTAAAGATTTCTGTGAACTTTTCTTATATCGGGTTCTTCATCCTGTCTCACCCCATCCCTCCCCTCCCCCAACTCTCCTCTTCTTTAGCCAAGCCACCCCTTCCCCTTCGATCTTTCCTCTTCTTCTTCTTCAGCCCAACTCGCCCCACCCCTCTCCTTCCATTCTTCTTCTTCAGCTTGACGGCCCCACCCCACTCCCCTCGATTCATTAATCGCATATCGATTCAATTCTAGAAGTTTTTAGAAGAACCGATATACAAATCGATAGTATTACATCAATGCAATTCTAGTACGTCGTCAGTTAATCATTAAGAAAATAAATATTTTAACTATCACTTTCTTTCATCGTTAAACCGCTTAAGACATAAAAATATAATTTCAAATTAATAAATATATAACCATAAATACATATACAAGTTTTTACAAGATACTCCCTCCGTCCCGCTATGATTGTCCCATTTTACCATTTCAATCTGTCCCACTAAGATTGTCTTATACCTTATTTGGTAAAATTTGTGTGGCTCTATATCATTCCAACTTTATTCTTACTTTATCAATTCAATATCAACCACATAATCCCACTTTTATTAACAACCGTGTCACCTTCTCTTGTCACAAACTTAGGAGGACGGAGGTAGTAGAAATTAAAAGAAAACAATCATTAAGTAGAAAAACTCGATTGCATCTATGCTTGTACCACATGTAGCAATGAGTGTAACACTTGTGTAACGATTAATGTTCTTAATCATTAATAAAATGGCCAAAATTCTTGATCATTCTTGAAACTTTGCATTTTTTAATAAAAATAAATCTGAATTCTTATGCTTCATTTATTTTTGTAGAACTTTGTGTTGCTATATGAATTACATTTGTTTCATTTATTTATTTATTTATTTATTATCGTACTCCGTATTATATAGAGGAAATCACTCATGGTAGGACTAAAACATAGCATTATTCTTAAAGTATGATTGTATGTTTGATTTTTCTTAAATAGGAATAAATATTACATATTCACCCTTAATTTAATTGTCCCTAGTTCCCTTTCATAACCAAAGCCATTTTGTTGGTGGCAGATCAACCCGATGACGACAGCAGGGAACTCCGGTGATGGGGGCGGACTGGTCGCAGGCATATCTGACGACCAGCAGTGGTGGTCCGCATTTAAAAGTCTATGGACTTTTTGAAAGTCAATAAACTTATCCATGGATTTAAAAGTCCATAGTATTCATTCATAAAAAAGTCTATGGATTTAAAAGTCCATTGACTTTTTTAAAAGTCCATGGATTAAAAAATGTCCACAACAATCCATATTGAATACACACCCTTAATTGGGTGTTTTTTAGTTTTGGGAGGGGAGGGGGGGGGCTTAATTAATTCTTGTCAAAGAAAAGAATTACTCTTGCACCAGAAATTTGAGTGTTGTGACTTTTTTTGAACCCGGTAATATGGCCAGAAAACTATCCTCATAGTTTTTTAGAGTAAAGGCCAAGGAACACCCTACCTCTTTATTAAATAAAAGGAGTTACAAGTGTAGGAGAACTATACCAAAACCTACTTGAATTTTCTCTAGGAGATGGCATTAATTTCATATAAAAGTTGTGGTACTTGAAAATTCCATTAGCCATGCGTGACCAACCACAAGAATCGGCTAAGTTAACAATGTCGCACGGGTCAAGGCGCTGTGTCTCGACTCTCGACAAGTCGACATAGTAGCACACCTAGTGGTGGACCAGGACCAGGCCGGGCCGGGCTTCGAGTTGGGACTGAGCGGGCTCAGGCATCGGGATTTCAGGCCCGGTACCAGCCCGTGTTTGTAAGGGGGCCGGGCCAGGTCGGGTCAAAACAGTGTCGGGACTGGCCGGGCTTCAGGACCAGGCCCGGGTCGACCCGTCCCAATCCATCCCTAAGCACACTCTAAAATTTTAGTAGTAATAAAAAGAAAATTGGATTGACTGCTTGAGTATTGCTGAGACCAGTAAATGAGAATGGGAGTAATAACAAATAACCACTGAATGAATAGTTGGACAGTACGACTGTATGCCGTATGCGTATAAAAGGACACAGATCCAATGGGTACATTCCAGAAGAATGAGGGACTTTAGACCTTGCATTCCTAAGCGCATCAAACAATGCAGCCCCCGCATGAAAGCAGTTAGAAATTGGCCTTCAATGAAAAGGGCTCCAAATTGGAAGTACAGATTTGTTGTAGCCGCAGCTGATATTTTTTGTAGCAATATGGAAACCCTACAAAATTTTGGAATCAGTACATTTATTCTTTTTCTTGCTCAATATTTGAGCAAGTCAACTCAGGAACTTG